TGTTTTTGTTCTGCTGTAGGTCCCAAGAAATGGTATAGTTTAACAGTATGTTTACAAATATGTGTAAGTATGTACATTTTCTTAGTACATGTTTGTAGTACACGTAGGGAGTGGGTACATGTATTTAACATATCTTGATTCTTTTTATTCCCTTCCTCTCCCCACCTACCTTCCTCCCTCCCTCCATCTCTAGGTCCTCTTTCTCTATTTTCATTATTATTATATCATTATTATTTGTAATTCATGTTTGCAGTATATAATGTTCATATTCATTGTGGGTCTTTGGTACATGTACATGACACATCTTAAATCTTCTGTGTACATTTTTAATTAAACCTGCCTGAATGCAATCACACCATAACTGTTTCTCAAGCACTCATGATCAAGTAGGGGAGTAGGGGAAACAAGGGAACAAGGGAACAAGGAAAACAAGGTCCTCATATCCCTTCCTACATCTCCTCTGGGAAGCCATCTGTGGCATCCCACCCCCTTCCCTATATCATCACTGTTCACTACATACCACTCCTTGGCCACACTCCCTGCGCTCCAGCTTGAGGTCTTCTTGTCTCAGCCTCCCCCCAGAATGCTGGGATGACAGCCATGCACCACACTACTCAGCTTACACAGATGTTTTGTAAGGTTAGAGACTGTCTCTCACCATCTCTGAACTTACAGCATGGAACCTGACATGTGTCAGGCTTCCACATTTATTAAATAAAAGAATGAAGAAAAAAATAAGGTTTCCCAGAAACCTTACTTCCTCGTCCTTTTCCCAGGGCTGGGAAAACATCATGGACTCAGGACTAAGGCTTTGGAGAGAGTACAGCAAATATGCTTTTGGGTGAAATGCATTCCACGGGCCACTTCTCAGCTCCTGAGTTTACAGACAAGGTACAAATGGCAAGAAGCCACCTTAGACCTAGGGTGAAATTAGACCTAGTAACATGAAATTACTATAGGACATAGAGCAAACCTTCCTCAGACGCCCAGTGCTCATCGCATTGACTCCAGGGCAGGGAAAATTAAAACAAGACTCCTGCTCATTAAAAACCTCTAGGAAGAAGGCTCAGAAAACACAGCTCCAGGAGCACTGAGGAGGCCTCCTTCAGCCCTCCCCCTCCCTCTGGGTGACAGCATAGAACAAGCTTCTGTCTACCATCTGGGAAGCCTTTGGCAAAAGTCCTTCTTCCCCCAGTCAAGCCCTTCAGAAGAAAGAAGAAGCAACAAAATAACAATGCTCCCTCTGCTCTTCCAGAAAGGCAAACTGGAAAGGTTGTTTCGAGTGTTTTCTTGTTTTTGTATTTGTCTTCCTGGTGTCACTCCAGAAAGCCTGGCTACATTGTGTTGTTCCAGAGAAGGTGACTGTCCTTATCCAACACTGACAGCAGGGTTCTCCTGGGTCCTGGTGGGTGTTAAATGAAGACAGACCACTGACCTTGCATGACTGACTCAGACTGGGGCTCAGTGTCCTCCACCTGGGCCCCTCCTTGGGTCCTGAGAGAGACAGAAGAGGAAAAGCAACTGTACCTGCTTCCACCTGTCACAGGCATCGAAGAGAACGCTGGTGGAGGAGGATGCTCACATGAAGCCAGGATGCCAGTGTATTAATCCACCCAGATTGCTATAACAAAAATAGCATAGACTAGTTAGCTTATAAACAATGGAAACTGCATCAATTAAGCTGACTAGGCTCCTTTGATGGGTGTCCGGTGTTCAAAGGCTGCAAACAGCTCCTCTTCGGTAATGTACGTAGCCTGTTGCTTGTACGGGCTGCCCTAAGGGACCTTAAAAACACTGCTTCCTAGTGAATGTCCCTGTATCTGACCTTGTGCTGTCCCCAGTCTAGGCTCCAGACAGTCATGCAGGGTGCCTTTGGGAAGCCTCAGGGCCCAGTAGCAAGAGTTCACATTGGACAAATCATCGTGTCCATCTGCACCAAGCTGCAGAGCAAGGAACATGTGATTGAGGCCCTACACAGGGCCAGGTTCAAATTCCCTGGCCGCCAGAAGATCCACATCTCCGAGAAGCGGGGCTTCACCAAATTCAGTGCAGACAAATTTGAAGACATGGTGACTGAGAAGCACCTCATCACTGATGGCTGTGGGGTGAAATACATCCCAAATCATGGTTCCCTGGACAAGCGGTGGGCCTTGCACTCTTGAAGGTTTCCATTGTGCCATCTTCATAACAAGTTCACCCATAAATCTTATCTCTGCCTCCCAATAATAAAAATAAACAACAGAAATTTATTTCTCATGGTTTTGGAGCCTGGGAAGTCCAAGCTCAAAGTGCCAGCAGATTCTGCATCTGCTGAGGTTCTGCTTTCAGTTTATAGCTGGTTTCTCATTGCTGATAAAAGAGACAAAGATGGAAGGGACCAGGAAATTCTCTGGGGTTTCTTCATAAGGCATTAATCCCAAATACCCCACCTCCTGCTGGTATCCAGCAGGTTGAGGATTAGGCTTGAACAAGTGAATTTTAAGGGGACACAAACATTCCATCTACAATAAAGGTGATGCATGAGTTTGAGGGCAGGAGGCTTCAATGTGCTGGTCCCAACAGGTAGTTCACCAAAAGTAGCTGTAGGCAAGAAAGTCAGGGGGACCAGGAGCATAGCCAAGAGTGGAACAAGGTTTCTCAACCTTAGCATACTTACCATTTGGCACTGCAACCTAATCTCAGAATCCTGTCACGTTTCCCATATTCAAGTATGATTGTGATGCTTCCAGTCACAATTTGGAAAAAAAAGAAAACTGAAGGTCTTGTTAAATCAGCACCAATAGATAAAAGGAAGTGTGAATGCCTACTTTTATTTCTTTACTGTCATGAAATGAGCCTGGCTTTTCAAGACCCTGTTCCTCTAACTGTGCCTCATTATTAAAAAATAATTAAAAATCCAATGGACTTTTCAACCCTAAAGGAAAGACTACAAGAAGATTCTTCCTTATACACAAAGCCTGAAGATTTTGTGGCTGATTTCAGGTTGATCTTTCAGAACTGTGATGAATGTAATGAGCCTGATTCAGAAGTAGCCAATGCTGGTATAAAACTTGAAAGCTATTTTGAAGAACTTCTAAAGAATCTTTATCCAGAAAAAAGGTTTCCTAAAGTAGAATTCAGGAATGAATCAGAAGATAATAAATTTAGTGATGATTCAGGTGATGATTTTGTACAGCCCTGGAAGAGGCGCCTCAAAAGCATCAAGAAGCACCAGTTGCTTCAATAAAGCAGCACCATTGGCGTATGTCTGTTGGAGAATTTTTGTATGTCAGTAATTTAACATCATTATAAAGAAGAATTTGTGAGCTGTTAAAAAAACAAGCAAATCAGTAAGGGGGAGTTTACACAAGCTTGAATACAGGAAGTAGGGGTCAGTGGGAGCCATTTCAGAAGCTGCTGACCACAAAAAAACTGTCGAGCACCTTCACCATGAGAACCATTGCCACTAGGCAAGATGTACGCCTTTGTGTCATGGTATGGACTCTGTGGGCAAGATGGATGAGAAGATCAGCTGAACAACAAAGGTGTTGGGTCTAGTTCCTCCAATGTGATCTGTCCCTATTTCAAGGATCAGTTGTATTCCGACACCCTCTCTGGCTCACCACCACCATGGTATGTTATGATCTGTTTGCTCATTCATCTCTCTTATTGACAGGGTCTCATTCACCCCTGTAGCCTATTGGCAGCTCAGGGCTTGAAACAGAGTGGGGCTCCACATGTATGGTAAATGAAACTGCAATTATATTTTGCCATCCATTTTTCCATCAAGGACATGGAGCTACCATTTTTTCATTGGACTCATCTTTTGTTGATATGAGAAAATTTGCTGCTGGAAATGGTTATTGGATACTAACTGTGAAAGATTCTAGAAGGGCAAAAACTTGCCCCTGGATTGTGCTCAGTTGGCTTTTCCCAAATGAGACAAAAACAACATAAATGCTAAGGAGGAGTGTCTTTGTATTTGGATGGCTCCTACTCTCCAAGGAGTAATAATTGAATATATAAGTGTTTTTGTTTTGCTTTGCTTTGCTTTTTTAAAGGAAATTCTCCCTTGGAGTTTAAGGAGTGCTAGAAAATAACCTGTGTGAAGAATTACCCTACTGTAGAAAATTCTCAATTTGTTTCATCTCAACCTTAGTTCATTATATTAACATCCTCAATGTGTTTTATCTTTTTTACAACTGAAGAAGTAGGACAGCCAATTGGATTCATTCATGGTTTGAAAGCAAGGCAGAGGCCATCTCCTTAATTTCTGAATGTCACTCCTGCTTAGGAAAGTTGTGGATATCTTTCGGCAGTTTGTACTATTTATTATCCTGGGTTGTGAATATTGACAGTGGTGGTAGTGCTGGCTTCTTGATCTATTTTATTTTATTTTTGGAAGTACTGGGGACTGAAGCCAAGGTTTCATATATGGTAGGCAAGTGCCCTACCACTGACCACATCCCCAACCATTGATCTGACTCCCTGGGTGTTGCTTTGGGTATTCATCCTCCAGCTTCCTGCTGTGTAGATGGCTATGGTGGTGACTCCTATTCCTGGTTTCTCCCTGGCACCCTCAAAAGAGTAGCTCCCCATATAGGTCAGTTCTGTATTACTTAAAAAGCATCTAAAAAAGTCTAGCCTAGACCCTGCTCTTTTAGACTTTACAACTACTTTGTAAGCACGCAAGTGTTTATAGTAAGCCCTATCATGCTTAAAAGACCTAGAATAATTTCTTTTTCCCATATGCAGACCTATTGATACATATTTTGCCCACCATTTTAAAGATTCCCCTTTGAAACTCAAAGCCATTAATTTGCCAATGTCTCCCACTTAAACATGAATTGAAAGAATTTTGGGGGGGGGGTACTGGGGATCAAACTCAGGACCTTGCACTTGCAAGGCAGGTGGCAGAACCACTGAGCTAAATGCAGGCCCTGAAAGAATTTTTAGAAAGTACAGTTTTAAATGACAGCCCCGCTTCAGAGTGAACTTATTTCTGCAGTACTTGCCTTTTGGATTTGTGAAGTGATTCTCTTTCTGGTATTCCTACACTTCTACCAGATTGTTTGAGAGGAGAGCAGAGATTGTGATGGACAGGGTCCATCCCCAACATATGTATAAATAGCCACGTGCACAAGCAGCCTGCAGAATCTGAGCTCATAGCTTAGGAAGTCCACCAGCCAATCCACTCTATGCATAGGACTCCAGGAAGCGCCATGCTTAGGTATGGGAAGGAATCATCCTGGAGAGAGAAAGAGAAAGAAAGCACTCCAATCAATCAGAGAACAACTCCATCTCCATTTTGTTTTTTTCGGAAAATAAAGTTGAATCGTAAGTTCCTTGATACACTTAAAAATCCTTAGAGTGAACATAAAATCTTGGTTGTCAGGCTTAGAGAAATGACCTGAGCTCTAGGACAGGTACTATATACCACCTTGAAGAGATGTAACCTTGCACATAGTGGTCAACTTCTATGAACCTCAGTCTCCTCCTCTATGAATAGAGCTCCTACCTGCAGAATTAGTACAAAGATCAAATGAAATTAACTTTCTGACTTCTGAATGACAGCTCCTTTCCATCTGTACTAGTCAGCTTTTCACCATTGTGACAAAATACTGGGAAGGTCAATTTAAAAGAGAAAAGATTTATTTTGGCTCATTGTTTCGGAAGTTTCAGTCCAGCTGGCTAAAGTGAGAAACATTGTGGCACAAAGGTGTGGTGGGGGAAAGCTGATCACTTTATGTCATCCAGTAAACAAAGAGGGCAAAGAGCCAGTGAGGAAGGGTTGAGAGACCAGATATAGTCCCCAAGGTCATGCCCCAGTGATCTATTCCCTTTCCCCAGGCCCATCTCCTATTTCTATTATTTCTCAATAAGGCCATTAAACTATAATTTCATCAGATTAATCCACTTCCATAATGAAGTTGGAGTCCTCATGATCTAATTAATCACTTCTCTAGGCTCCGCCTCTGGACAAGACTTTGGGGGACATTTCATATTTAAACCATAATACTGTCCACTCCATCCTATAAGAATATAACCAACCAATGACTTAATCTTATAATATCCAAGAGCTTGAAGGCCCAGCATGATGCCTAACAGAGTGGTGGCAAGCAATAAACATTTGTTGAAGTAATCATTGAAAATATAATTCAATAATTTTTACAATCCTCTATGAGACTAAAAAAAGACTGAGGGCAGCTTGCCAAAGTCACATAACTAGTTGGTGACAGAACGAGGGATCCACCTGTAACCCTCAATTCCCATTCACTGTTCCCTGCTCTGACTCATATTTTATAAAGCCATCTATGTTTCTCAAAATGATTTGTAGGCAAAATAGCACTGACTTATAGAAAATAAATCATAAATTATCCTCAAATACTAATTTTTTGGCATCTGAGACCCATTTTACATGGAGCAAAAATTCAGATTTCCTACTGAAAATCTCTTCAGGGCCTAAGGATTACAGAGTCTATGTCCCAGAAGCAAATGTTTCCCCAACTTGCCTCACTGGACTCTAAATGAGATGCAGAGGGTGAAGAAAGAAAGACAACGCTAGAAGCAGGAATGGAGAGGGAAGGAAGGGCCGTGTGCGTGTGCGTGCGTGCGTGTGTGTGTGTGTGTGTGTGTGTGTGTGTGTATTCTAGCAAATGCAAAAACTTCTTTCGGGAAGTGAGAAGAGTGACTCTGAGATCTGAACAAGGACATCCTTAGTGATAAAAAAATATTATGAGTTGGCAACCTGAACTGCCATGATTCACAGCACAGTGTCCCATTAGAAGCCACCCTCCAAATACTGTAAAGGAGGAATCATCAAGTTCAGAGAGGGGGCAACTCTAGAGCAAACTGTCATTAATGTAAGTGAAACTAGTCCAGAAGTTTAGGACTAATAGGATCATCGAAGCAGCTTATTTTTCTGGTCTGTGCTCTACATATCTCGTCTCTCTGCAACTCCCAAGGCAGATTCTTCCTGTAGATGAATTAGGCCGGGTGAGGAGAACAGGATTCTTGCCCATAATTTTTTCAGCATATCTAGTTGATTTATCTGTTGATACCACTGTGTTGTGGCAGTTAAAATGCTGCAACATTAGAACAAGCTGGAACAGACTTTGTGCATTCATAAACCATATGAAAACCACATGTTGGAGACGTGGGAGAACGGGTCCTGATAAGAAAATGGTTTCGAACATTTGCAAAGCTTTGCTTAAAGCTGAAGCAAGGACACTAAGTGCTTGGCTGCAGAACTGTAAACACTGCAATGGAATTTGAGAATCATCACCTTGTAGAATCCTTGAGATAGAGATGGTTCTGCATTCAGACAGGTGAATGGCTCCAGCACATAGGATAAACATCACTTCGTGGTCCTATTAACCATGAGGAAATTTATTACATTCCTCATCTCTAACCCCACCTACTTTGGTCTGTTCTCTTCTTGATCTCTTAGGGGAGAAAATGGAGCCTTTTAGTCACCCTTTGGCTAAAAAGCTACATTTTTCATTTTCTTAGGAGGTAGTCTGGATGGATTTGATGTCAGAAGATATGGTTCGAAGCTGGAATCTGTGAGCACCTAAGGTGTGTGAGCTTGGACATAAATCTAAACCTCTCATTTTGCAGATTCCTCTTCTGCAAAATGATTGTAATAATCACTCACTCACAGGCTTCAAGGAGAGAATGCGGAAATGTTTCTACAACTCAACAGGGAAGCTGTGAATCACAGCTCAGAGTACTTGAAACTTGTGTAATATATAAACTCTTTCATATGGGGAAAAAAATCCTCATAAAACCCTAACAAAGCGATCTCAAACACAGGACACAGTATCAACTTTGAGATCCACACAGTGAAGCATGAAAATTCTTCTTTTCTATATGAAAAAAAAATATTTTCATCTCAAATTATCACTAAAGTTTTTATAAAGTAGTTCTTAATTAACAATAGGTAAAATGAGATTATTTTAAAGATTACCACCAAAGTAAATACACAAAAGTTTTAAGTGTGTGTAATCCTTTGCTCCTTCAGGAAGAACCACCAAGAAACCTGACATGGCAATTAGAATTCATATGCCAAAAAAAAAAACAAAACAGGGATATTAAACCTGGCTTTGCCATTTACTAGCTGTGTGATTTGAGGTGGGGAATGTAATCCCTCAAAAGCCTCAATTTTCCATTTTAGATTGCTGGGCCCCAAAGGCCTGATTAACACTGGGGAAACCTGTGAGGAGTCATGAGGGAAAAAATTCTAGTCCAGCACTCTTAAGGTAGAAGGTCCGATCCAGCTGTGCACACTTGACCAAACCTCTTGGCTTTGCTGTGCTTCAGTTTCCTGTTAGAAGAAACAGGACAGTCATCTTTGACAAGCTTTGCTACCTTGCAGAGCCTGCAGGAGCAAGAGGAGTATCAGTGTTCACAGAAGGAAGCCTGTTCTACAAACAAGGAAGCAGCCTGGGGAGCAGCACTTCTGGAAGAGGGACTCTGTGACATTGCCCAAGGCAGAGAAACCACCACCCCTATCTGGAAAATCAAATCCTTCTTAAGGTTAGAGCTCTGGTTTATGATTCTCGGCTTCTTCTGCCAGAAATGAGCTCAGCCTAAAGTGCCATTAGCTACCCGCTGCTGGGTACATTTGCTATCAAGGTCTTTTTTATCAGGTGGCAGGCTGTGAAAAGGCAGATAGTGCTTAATTACCCAGGGAGCCCAGCAGTTCTGCTTGCTGAGGCTCTGGAAAAGCCCACCCCTCTCTGGACCAGGACAAGGTGCTGATAAAGCCATGAATGAAATCTGTTCTCGCTCCCTGCCTGCCCTGCACACCACCACACATAGAAGAAATAAATGAGAAGCCAGTCACAACCCTCAGTGCTTTACCTACTCCTTCTCTATCCTTTCTCCCCTTAATTTTCCCTTTTCTACCCATACCACAGAAGCACATATGATGGGGAAGTAGGCTCAATAGAGTAGAGCCCAAAGCAGCCTCTGTCCAGTTTCTAGAAATGACCCAGGTACACATCTAGTGACAGTGGGCTAATATTTCAGCCCATGTTGATTTAAGGTTATCTCCATTACCAGGAACTGAGCTGAGGCTTTCACACAGCATCACCTCTTACATCTTCACAATCATCCTGAAAGCTTGTAGCTGTCATTCTCACTTCACATCAAGGGCTAGAGGAGACACCAATACTCACCTGCACACGCCCTTCCAAGTGTCAGGGACAACTGGGTCCCATCATCTGCCCTGGCCTTTATCATAATGGCTGTGGCTATTTAAGGAGGGACGTCAAGGTAAGACAGTTCTAGTCCCAACACCACCCTAAACTACTGTGTATCCTTGGACTCTTGCCTCCCCCAGCTCTGAAGCACAGCTTCCTGCACTTTAACTTCTATCTACCTGTGTATAATGTGATTATGCGGTTTGACTGAGATAATATATATGCATTCTCTGTACCCGACGAAGCATTGCACACCTGGGTTACTAAAATCATATGAAACACCATTAGCTCTTTACTCAGACACTAAGTCAACTCAACAAAGAGGTAGGCATTCTATGGATAACCTGTGAAAAATGACAGGGGCATCCAATGGGTAACCAATTACCAGAATCCACCCTGACCATATCCACTGGCTACTAGAGGATGCTACAGTTTGAGTATGTCACCTCAAGCTTCATGTGCTGGAAAGTTAATTTTCAATGCAGCAGAGTGAGAGGTGGGGCCTAGTAGGAGGTGTTGGGGTCATGGGGTAGAACCTTTGTAGATGAATTCATGATTTTCTTGCAGGGATGGGTTAGCTATCATGGGAGTTTAGCCTCCTTTACTCTCTTCTGCATGTGCTTGCCCTTCCACCTCCCACTGAAGCAGAACAAGGATCTCACCAGAAGCTAAGAAGGTGTTGGCACAATAATCTTGGACGTCTCAGTCTTCAGAACCATAAGCCACAGTGACCATCTTTTCTTTATCAATTATCAGCCTTGAATTTCTGCTATGGGCTGAGATGCAGTACAACATCAGGCCAGAAATTTGGTGTCCCACTATACTCACATCAGCTATGATGTCGAGTGCATGCATCTCTCTGGCTAGTATGCCTTTCAGCTTGTGTGATTTGGGGCACTGACTCTTTGAACCTCAGTCTCTACTTTAAACAGAGATAGTAATCTCTACCGTACAAGATTGTTGTGAAGATTAAGCAATAAATGCACAAAAACATTGGCACAATGCTGCGCACAACAGTGGAGCTCCATGGGTGTTTGCTCCT